CCATAATTTATATTGACCCACAAAGGGCCCATGATTTGGATAGGGAGATTACTTTGCAAAAAATTTATTATAGGCCTAAGGGTTATTATCGAACTACTAAAAAAATGCGAGATGCGTGTAGAAGGGCTGAATATAATTTTTCGTTAGCTGAGATACATACTTGGTTAAATTAGCAAGCCATTTTTTAGATTTACAAGCCACCTCCAAGGTATATTTCTCGAGTTTTATTTAATACTATTCAAATTCCTAATGAATGTCATCAGGCTGATATTCTTTATATGCCTTATGATAAAATTGGAAAAATAACCTATATGTTTTGTCTTAATGTAGTAGATATAGCGAGTAGATATAAAGCATCAATTTCAATTGGAGGTATTATTCCTAATATTGATGTAAACCGGCTAAAAGCTGAAGATGTTAATCTAAAAAATATTTTAACTTTCTATACTATTGCTATAGCATTTAAAAAAATCTATAATGATCCAACATGTCCACTTATTTATCCTAAATTATTATTAACAAATAAGGGCTCAGAATTTAGAAGGATTGTAAGAGACTGATAAAAAAGCATAGTGTAAAAATCCAGAAGGCTAATTCTAAACACAGTATGGGTATTGTTGAAAGATATAACCAAACCTTGGCAGAAAGATTGTTTTGAATACAAGATGCGTCAGATTTACTATTGCCAATATCTGAAAGATCTAGGACTTGGGTAAAGAATCTTCTAATTATTGTTAAAGAACTTAATAATTCTATAACTCGACTTCTTAAAATGGCTCCTGCAGAAGCTATTCAAAAAAAATGAGTTAGTGCTATGTCTTCTTTACCTCGCAATGGTCCTGTTGGATTTGATGAATCTCGATTATCTTATAATATTTCTGTAAGATATTTACTTGAACCAGGTGAGTTAGAAGGTGGAAGACATCATGCGACTGATTGTTATTGGTCTCCAAAAGTTTATTACATTAAAAAATCATTAATACAAAAAAATCAACCAGTGTTGTACTGGCTTATAGATGAAAATAATGATGGGCCCAAAAGATCGTTTGTAAGAGAACAATTAATGGTAGTTAAGAAGGTTGAATATTCACCTAAACGGGTTCTTAAACAATATTATATTTCTAAACTGTGAATTTTTTGAAGAATTTCATCTACTTCTGATTTTGTTCGCTTTTCTACTTTTTCTTCTTGATTAGCTATTTCTAAATATAATTTATATAACTTTTCTAAACTAGTATATACCTCTTCATTATACCAATTTTTAAAATCTGCCATTCTTTCATTATAGATTTCCTCATTTGGAGTACACTGTTTTGCAACATATCTAATATGATCTTCTGGACTCTTTTTCATTGTAAAGTTTTAAGATAACTTACATATGATATTTCTAATTTGTCATATTTTTTAGTGCCTTGGCTATATGCTACTTTAATCACTTCAACTAAAGCTGATTCGATATCTTTATGATCTATCATTTTGAATATTTGTATTTTTTATTATATATTACTTTATTCATATCTTTTGTTTAAATAAAAAATATTTCTTTTACTCATGTCTGGAAAATTTACTTGTGATTATTTGCATAACTCTGGTGAAGTTTGTGGTCATGGTTGTCGTTGTCCTCAAGGATACCATGAACATTGGAGGTCTAAAAACGCATCCCCTGCAAAGTTTGTGGTAAACCTACTAGTTCTATACCCAAAGCATGTAAAGATCATGCTGGTGGGTTTTATGTCTTGCAATTTTATTCTCGCCAGCTCTGCCTTCTCGCAAATACTGTTCAAAGCCAAAATGAAACTTAATCCTACCTTCTTGCATATATGCTTGAAGTTAGAAAAAACTTGCAAACAGAAGATATAAAAATACACCAAAAAATTAGTACTGATTTTAATGATTTTTAGTTTTAAAAACTTGCAGACTGAAGGGTGTAAAATCACACCACAATTAGTCACTATTTTTTAAGCCCACCTTCTCGTGACTTCATCACTTGAAGTCAGAAAAAGAAGTTTTCATACGAATAACGATGTGATTAATGAGAGATTTATGTTTGCTTCATCAGTCGAATGACGAGAGATTTATGTTCGCTTCGTATAAAAACACCAAAAAATTAGTATCAATTTTAATGGACTGACGAAAAAAACTCGCAGAAGAGAAGGTGTAAAAATACACAAAAAAGTCTGCTCGCCCTCCCTGCTGCTTCTTGGATATTCTAAAGAAAGTTGGAGGAACTGAATTGCAAAAAAAGTTCCATAATCGCCTTTGCCAAATTCTCTGTTTTCGTAGTCTTAAATTATTAAATAATCTAGAACGTATAAAAATAATAACTGCAGCAGACTATCATCATATAATGAAGGTTGCTCTTTTTGCCTTAGATGATATTTTAATAGGTGGAATGAAATAAGTTGCAATAAACTTTGCGAACTTTATGCAAAATTTGGTAAAATGTATATTATAAGCAAGAAAGAGTCATATACTGAGAAAGAGTTAGATAATTTCGAGGTAATACCAATACTAATAAATGAATTATTTTACAAATTAGTACTGGTCAAATTAAAAAATCTGATGTGCATTCTGAATGCACTATTCAGAACTATCACATGATTTCACAAATATGAGATCATATGATAATCTTATTACATATTGCAGTCAGAGATTTTTCAATTCTATGGTATGAAATCTTTATCTAGTACATAATTGTCTTCTAAAGCCTCAGAGATCCCTAGACTACATATTTATAGAATAACTTTTTTGCAAGAAAATTTTAAAAGTTTTTTTAAAACTGATTGTTATTTTTAGATAATAAAAAATGCTTTTTTTAAATAGAATCAGTTTTAGAATAACCTTTTAATATGTTACAGATTATTTTTATATCGCATAAAATACCTAACTGTATTGGAGAAATATGGAAAAGTTTTCAAACACCCACCACGCACATGATTTAATGCAAAGCAAAATAGCCAGAATTCAACTAATCGACACAGTATGGCTGGCATTATAGTTAGGTTTAACATAAGAGTATGCAGAATTAGTCACATGTGTACCATATCGGAATATCTTCCCTACATATTACAGTATTAAATAGCACATTGAAGACAAAATATTGAATTCTTTAATATACAAATTAAAGCTAAAATTTGTCATCATTTGAAATAGGAAGCAATTATAAATTGGTGCAAAAAGTTTGGAAGAATCTTCTCCTCGTTAACTACTAGTAGTTATCCTAAATTTTACAGTTTGAGATATCATACTGGTATTTTTAAACTTCTACTATAAATCTAATTTTATCTACTTACAAATAAAATAAATTATCCTTCAAATTCTTGTTATATTCAGTTACTGCAATTCGCAACTACGGCTCGTTGAATAGTCTATCTACAGAAATTTATGAAATGCTTCATAAAATATATATTAAAAACCTGTATCAATCTTCAAATCGAAAAAATATAATGCAGCAGTTAATAAAAGCGATTAGTTACAAACTTTAATAGATTAAAACAATCAAAAAAAAAATCTTGTTTTTTTTAAAAAAAAATTTTTTTGCAGATGAAATGCAAAAAAATAGTATCAACAACTAGTAAAATAATTCATAGAAAGGCTGAGAGGTTTGGAAAGATTTTTTGGAACCTAAACCTGGATAAAATTGAGTCAAAAGTAATCCTTTTGAAAAAGTCAAAAAATCTACCACACACTAAATTAACTGAAGGCTTGTTACAAATAATTTTTGTATTGGATACCTTCTTGAATACTTCTTCGCAAGATTCTGAAAGTGATGACTTCTGTATTATAGTTTACGAGACTGTACATCTAAACAATGGTGAAATTCTGCGAAATTCAGAAGATTTCCAGAGCAAAAAGTGGTTTAGTAATGTTTCAGTTACTTCCGCAGAAGACCAGAATGAATCAGTTGATGGTGTATAGTATAGAAAAGTAAATAATTCCAATTACCTTCTAAAAAAATTCATTTTCCAGTATTTAAGCAAGTTGTATTTTCCTATAGATATTGCTTCTTTTGAAATTTTTTCGAGGTTTATCAAAAGAACTGTATAAACTTGTACTAGTTCACTGGTATGACACTCTTTCAAAGGAACCAGAGCTTTATGGCTGTCCACAGTTATATTATTCCGAAGAATATAATATTATTTCTATTGGATCCATTATTCAAGAAGCATATATTGTACCAAAATTTGATAAAGAAAATTGTTATTTGTTAAACCAATATATGTTTTAAATAAAAACAAATAATAATTTTATGAATAAGTATGCTATTCCAAAATTGTTATAAAAGTAGTTACCTTCTGAGTTTGCAAAAAATTTTTGCTGCTAAATGTAACGATAAGTATCTTTGTAGTGAAATTAGGCTTATTAATAAAGTCAGATCCCATTCCTGCTCCCTTCTGCTGATTTTTGATAATAAATTAATGCCTTATAATTACTTTTTTCAACTCCAATTCTGTTTCGTAGAGTTGTTAATAGAGTACTCCAAACTATCTCTTAAACTATAAACTGATCTAGGCAAATTTGTCTGCAAAAATTTATCCAATAATTGCACATATTTATCTTGTTAAAGTTATGTATTTAAATGATATAATCAAGTTATGGATGTGCCATTTGGAATTTGTTGGATATCAGAATTTTAAACCAGTAGAATTTCAATAAATTGGCACACTCAGAAGCATCTCGAGTGAAGTATAAACTTGGCTTTGCAGAGCTATTTCACAAAACTATAGAAAAAATAAAAGAAAGGTATTATTCAAAATGGTTAAAAGTAGTATTAGCTAAAAGCTCTACACAAGTAGTATGCCTAGTATTAATATTACTGAGGTTAACATAATAATTTATGTAAATTGTTTTAGCAAAAAAAATTTGATCAAAAATTTGCAAGCAAATTTTTCTGCAAAACAGTTTAAGGGATAATAAAACATAGAAACTACTTCAGTTTAAAACTGTGGTTTATATGTTTTATTAAATTTGGGGTAGAACTTAGTAATAAGCGGACTACTTAAATAGGCAACCAAAAGTTGTACACGTGACTAGTATGTACTCTCCAAATATGTATACGAGATGCTATAAACGCATATTGTAAAAGTTAACTATAACCGAAT